CCTTCAGTCTTGGCTTTGCTGTCCTTGAACTCCCCCACCGCCGCCATCAGACATAATCACAATGACCACGGCGCAGCAGGGCCACTGCCAGTTAATCTCCGAGCACTTGCTGTCCACCAGCCTCTGTGCTGCCCACTGCCCAGGGACGGAGAGTCAGTTTCACAGGCCGTCTGAGGCTGCTCCTCGGCTCCTGGCCCAGCTACCCAACTGCGCCATCCTCTCCTCCAGCAGCTTGTTAGGAAAGCAAATTCTCAGGTCCCCACCTCAGACCTACACAATTAGACTCCACGTTTTAGCAAGACCTCAGGTGATTTGGGGGCACATTAAAATTGCAAAAGCCCTGCATGACTATAGCATCCCAATCCCAGCAACAGCTCACCGCCGTGAACCTAGCTAATACTGGCAGAGATTTCCTGTGTCCTGTGGGGCTTTGCACACAGAGTTCTATTTGAGCTTCATCAATGTTTTGGGGTGAGTGTGATTATGACTCCAAAATGACAGATTAAAAAAAATTGTGGCTCAGAGAAGTTAGGTAATTAGCCTGAGAACACACAGCCTGTAAGTGACAAGGGTGGGATTTGAACCCAGCCTCTCTGAGCTCATACTCATCCTAGCTTCTGCACCTCCTAAGCTTTCTTCTCTTGCATCTTATCCTGTGTAGGTGTCTGCAGACATGAAGTCTCTCTCCCTTTTCCTCACCCTCTGACAGCCACTGGCCTCCTGGGTGCAGCTTTCCAGTCACAGGGTTGGGGGTGAGTTGGGGATGCTTGCATTGAGAAAAGCACAGACTCTGTCTCCCATCTCATCCATGAACCTCTAAGACCGGTCCAAATTTTCAGGGGATTGTGTTGTCCACTGACCTTTGGAGGACCAATGTCCCACTCAGATGGTGCAGGGCAGGGATTGTAATGTCCACTTCACAGTCAAAGGCGCTGAGCCCAGCGTGGTTTCCTGTCCACGCCCAGGGTTGACCATGGCAGGCAAGCTCAGCATAAAGATCACTGGCTCGGTAGTCGGCCAGTTCTGGGCTCCTCAGCTCCAACCTTGCAACCACTCCTGGGTCTGCGGCAGGTAGATGCTTCCAGCCCGTGGCCAGCCTCATCCGATACTTGTCTGTGTTTGGCCCTTGAGCAAAGAATGGTTTCCACGCTTTTTCTCTTCTCTTTTCTTTCTTTCTTTCTTTTTTTTTGGTACCAGTACTCGAACTCATGACCTCACACTTGCCATGCAGGTGCTATGCCACTGAGCTAAATCCCCGGCCTCTAACTTTTCCAATAGGTGGTGGAAAAAATGGAAAACATTTTGTGGGCACATGAAAAATGTGTAAAAGTCAAATTTCAGTGTCCATGAAGTCATCTCATTTCTTGGGATGGTTGTGCCTTGGTGTTCTAAGGAAGGACTAGGTCCAGGACCCTGCCCCTTCTACCAAAATTTGTTCCAAAGAAGCCATGCACATTCTTCTGTATACCTTAAACCATCTAACTTAAATGTCTAACACAAGGTAAATGCCATAGAAATTGTCATATTTAGGGTACAGTGACAAGGAAAGATGTCTGTACATGCTCCGTAGAAACACATTTTTGTTCATATATTTCTTATCCTATTGTAATCAGGGCTTGCAAGGGAATAGATTTAATACAGGACACACAATTTATAGAATTATTTTACAATATTCACCCAAAAAGTCAAATGCAGAAGACTGCAGAAGGTCTGTCCTCACACTGGAGACCCAAAGAATCTAGCTGAGGGCTTGGATCCTGTGGTGGTGTCCTGCATGGATTCAGCTGAAGACCTAGAGCCCATGGCAGTGTCCTCCATGAGTCCAGCTGGAGGTCTAGAGTCCACGCAATGTCCCGTGCCAGTCTGTGTCAAGGGTCTGCACTGCGAAGGTCCAGACCAGAAAGATGATAACAGCTGAGTTCATATCAGGAAAACCAGCACAACAGGCTTCTCCAAGACAGTCATCTTCCCCTCCAGTTCTCCAGGCAACAAGGCTCAGGTGGGCCCTCCACACCCAGCACATGCTGATTCCGTCCCGCTGGGCACTGCAAGCTGACCATTAGTTAATCCACCACACACACCCAGATACACAGCTGTGCGCGGGATGGTGGGGGGGGGGGCTGCACATTGTTTATGGCTGTACATTGTAGAAGCTGAGACTAGACCAGGTGTGCACACCTGCCATCCCAGCTACGGGGGAAGCTGAGGAAGCGGGGAGAGTTCAGGGCCAGCCTGGGCAAGTTAGTGAGCCCGGTCTCAAAATGAATAAAACAGAAGGAGCCTCATGAGGACATAGCTCAGTGGTAGAGTGTCCCCGGGTTCGATCCCCAGTATAGGAAGAAAAGAAAGATAGGATGAAGAAGAGGAGGAGGAAGCAGAAGAGGAAGAGGAAAAAGACGTGGAAAAGGGAGGGAAAGAAAGAGAAGGGGAGAGGAGGAGGAGGAGGAGAAGGAGGAATAAATAGTGGGAATACTGATGCTATGGCTTGCAAAGCCCTGGATATTTCCTATTTGGGTCTTGACAGAAAGTGTTTGGTGACTCTTGATCTACAGTAGTGATTCGTAAGATTTATTTATTTTTTGTTTGTTTGTTTTTAGGGTACTGCAGATGGAGGCCACTGAGCTGTATTTCTACCTAGTTTTTATTGTGAGACAGGGTCTCACTATGTTGCCCACATTGGCCTCAACTTGCAATTCTCCTGCCTCAGCCTCCTGAGTAGCTGGGGTTATAGGTGTGTGCCATTGGGGTGCGTTTTGGGGTTTTCGTTCTTTTACAGTGCTGGGAATTAAATCCGGAGACTAGGCCCATGGAGGTGAGTGCGGTAGCCCCTAGAGTGGGGACTCTCAAACGTACGACGGCCTGTTACACACAGGCTGCTGTCCCTGCCCGGGTTTCTGCTTTGGTAGGTGGGTGGGGCCAAGAGACTGTGTTCTAACAGCTTCAAGGGGGACACCAGTGCAGACACTGCACTGGAGAGCCTGGGCTTTACAGCCGACCCTCAGCCCCACCCGGGAAGCTCACAGCCCACCCGGAAAGTGGGAAGGGCTGCGGGGGGAGAGAAAGGAACCGCTCCCAGGTCCCACCTGACCACCCGGCCTCTTCCAGGCCAGCCTTCTGCTGGTGTCTACTCCCCCCTGGTGGCAGCGAGCCCGGAGCTGGCCTGTCATGTTCATCCCTGATGGTGCAGGGCTTCCCAGGGAAACGCACTCAAAACCTTTGAAGTCTGCAATCCTTTTCTTTCTGGAGTCCCTTTCTAGGAATTTAACCTAAGGGGAAGATGTGCCAGGATGTCTGCGCTGCATTATTTGTAAGAGGATGAAATGAGAGACCAGGCACTTGGCTGTAGTCACATAGCTCAGGAAAAGCCGAGGTAGGATTTGAATGTGGATCTGTTGACTCCAGAGCCAATGTCCCCAAGTGCCACCCAGCATGGCCCCTCAGAGTATTTCCTATTCACAGTAACGAAGCATCCAGGTACCCAGCTTTGATCCCGAGTCTGTGCCTACCTGTGTGACACCAGGCAAGACGCTTAACTGCTCTGTGCCTCTGCACTCCCACCTGTGAAAGGGCACCATGGTCGTGAAGGGTACCTGCGTTGGCATGAAGTACGAGGAGCCCACACTGTGTGGACTGTGGTCCACAGTGTCACTGCCGCTCATCCAGCCCCCACCTTCCTTCTCCTTTGCCCTGTCCCCTCCCTTCCTGTGCTGAATGGGTGCAAAGCATGATGGGTCACCGGGCAGGTTTGCTGGTCAGGAGCAAGTGGAGAAGCCAGAGCTCGGCCCTGGAGTCCAGAGGTGGCAAATGTTGAGGAAATCAGCTGCTCCAAGATCCCAGACTTTAAACACACAAATGAAATACACTGGACCTAAATCCCGGATCCCTGTGTGCCACTGCTCCGTGTCTAACAGGAGGGTGATGGCAGCACCACAGGGACCTAATTCGGGCACTCACTAAAGATAGAGAGCCGCGGGCTTGCCTGTCCTTGGGACAGTGAAGGAGGGAACACCGGCCCAGGGAGCTGTGTCATGGGGTCATGGAGACTTAGCAAGTGACTTTCTGTGCATCTCGGGCTCTGAGTGGGAGCAGAGATGAGCAGGGTCAGCTCTGCCTGGCTGGGCATGATGAAAATTCAGAGGCAGCTGTGCACGCTCAGACCTGAGCCAGTGAGAAATGGGCTGGAGGAGGAAGAGGGGAGGAGAGAGGAGGCTGGGGCGGTGCAGCTTTGGGGAGGAGGGGGTGGTGCAAATGAGGGTTTAGAGGCTGTTTGCTGGGCACTGTGGAAGGCTTCGAGGTAGGGGAACGTCGAGGAAGAGCCCTGCAGGGAGCACGGGCTTCTTACAAGGCGGAGGGCTCAGTGGAGCGAGGCAGAGGGCTGTGTTCTCGGGCTGGGACCCTAGAGCCAGTGGGCAGTGGGGAGCCACTGAAGGTTTGTGAGTGAGGGGAGCGTTTGCTGGATGATTGAGCGCTGGACTGGGAAGACAGAAGAGGAAGGGTGTGTGGGAAAAACCACGGGGAAGCTGCTGTTTCCGGTCCTTTGGAGCAGGACCCCTTGGTTTTTTGGTGGGATAATGGGAAATGCTAAGTGCCAAGTCCCAGCGGGGGTTGGTCCAGACATTCTGCTTTCAAAGAGGTCATCTGTGGACAGATCTGCCTGAGAAGTCCAGCTCTACAATCCCTCCGTCCTTCAGGACCTCAGTTTATCCCTCTATAAACTGGGTACAGTGCACCCTGTCTCCACGGAAGAGTGTGAAGATGAAGGAGAATGAGAAAGGGGTCTCACCAGGGCCTGGAGCACAGTAAATGCCCCTGTCCCTGCCTTCTACTGTGTGGCTGCCCCAGAGCAGGACACAGACCCTCTGACTTACAGTCACCTCCAAGTAAGTGAGATTTCTGCATCCAGAGGTCATTCATTCATAGTTTGGTCATTCATTCAATCAGCATTTCCGAGCAGTGATCATGTGCCTGGTGCTGGGACCCGAACTGAATTAGACACTGTCTTTGGTTTCTGAGAGTTTATTGACCCATTCATTGCTCATCATTTACAGAGCTCTATTCTGTGCTTGGCGGGCAGGGGGTAAAGTGGGTATGGCCAGCTCGGGAGGCTTTGGGTGGCTGTGACTCAGCCCGGCACGTCACAGCTCCACATCCGGGAAGAGGAGGAAACCTGAGAAGATGCTGTTGGCACCCTCGATGCCCAGCAGGGCGTTCTGGTTGGTGGCCTCCAGGTAGACCATCTCCTCCCTCTCCAGCTTGAGGACCACGCCCCCTGTGGTGACCTGGAAGGAGTTGCGGACATAGTCGCAGAAGGTGACCACCTTCTTGAGGTGCTCCCGGCCCTGCATGAGGTTCACGCACAGGTTCCCGCGAGAGCTGGCGTGGTAGGTGAAGTAGTAGAGACCTGGCACTTTGCACGTGAACTTGCCGCTGCGAGGCTCGTAGTTCTTGTTCACATTGGTGATCACGCTGTCGAAGCGGATGGCTTGCTTTGCTCTTACAGGAGCGCTGAGGGTCTTCAAGGCCGAGAAGGCCACTTTCTGTGTGGCCTTGTAGTCTCCTGATTCTCCCTTGGGGCCAGGGCCTCCAGGGATCCCTGGGGCACCTTTAGGACCAATGGGGCCTTTGGGCCCAACTTTTCCTGGATTCCCAGGAATCCCTGGGTCGCCCTTCTCTCCAAATTCACCATGGTCTCCAGCTAGCCCTGGGGACCCTGGAAAAGCAGAGGCAAGACAGATAAGGAGACCAGATGCTACTGAGGCCCAAGGAAAGAGCCTGGGCTGGGACACTGCGTTGGTCCCTGCTTCTGTCTGGGTCTCTGATTCCCAGCTGTACAAAAGTGGAGGTGTCAAAAAGGGCTTCTGAGTCTCCCTTCAGCCCTGCTTTCTGAGCCTAGAATATGTGGTTTGCAGATGGATGCTTGTGACAGGAGTGGTTCTCCCACCGAGGTACCCATTCAACTGAAGCCCAGGTAAGGCATGATGAGTTCATAGAATGTGTGTCACACCTTGCACTCCTTACCCGGGCAGACATCCTTAATCAACTGCAGCACGCATTCCGGCTGCATGGGACTCCAGAATCCTCTCACCCCGCCACTCCAAATCTGGAACCACACCCTCTTGATTTTGCATGAAGCAAGAAAAAAAAACCTCTTTTCTGGTAGGTCAGCAAAGGGCAGTGGCTTGGACCATGGGCTGTGGAGGCAGCATACATACATCTCACATCACACCTGCCTTTACTGTGTTAGGTGCGGGGCTCCACTGCCTCCTCTGTAAAATTTTTGTGGGATAATATTTTGTGGGATTGTGAGATTCAATGAGATTATGTGAGGAGGGGTCAGCACAGAGGGCTGCTCCCAAACCAGAGGTTAAGTGAATGAATAAATGATATTTTACAGAGGGTTTTGCATGGTGGGAGTCTTACCCCCCACCTCAACCCCACAAAAGTCATTCAGGGAGGTAAAGCCACCTCCTGTGGAGGTAGAGGCAGGCCCAGGGCTATGAGACCACAGTAGTGGTCTCTGTCTACCTGGGTGGAGTGGGAAGAGGTCTACTCCAGCCTTCAACTCACTGGGCTAACTTGAGGAAGTCAGTAGCCTTTCTGGACATCAGTTTTCCTGCCTGTGAAATGGGAGCTAGAATTCTTTCTTGGCAAAGCAAATGGATTGGCAAGTACTTTTGCAATCTCTAAGGCAGTGACTTGGGAAGTGGGAGGTGCCAGGTGCCAGGAGTCTTGGCTGGTGGCACAAGTGTGTCTCCACTTTACCTTTCTCTCCTTTTGTTCCTGGAGTCCCAGGTTGGCCATCAGAGCCGGGTACCCCAGGGATGCCTGGAATACCAGGAATGGCTGGGTGCCCAACACAGCTGCTCTGGACCCGGGAGACACGGAGCAGAGGTAAGAGCAGCAGCAGGAGCAGCACGGAGACATCGCCCCACGGGATCTTCATGGCCACGCTCGCTCAGCTGCTCCCTGCAGGGGGAGACGTTGGGATTAGTACATGGGGGCTATCATCCATTCCTTCATTCATTAACCCATCATTTTGTTTGTCCCTCTATCCATCCATGATCCATCTATCCATCCATCCATCATCCACCCACCATCCATCATCCACCCACCATCCATCCATCATCCATCCATCCATCCATCCATCCATCCATCCACCATTCATCGATCATCCGTCCATTCCATGTTCACTGATGGTCACTTCTCCACCAGACCCTGAACTAGGTCCTGGTGATACAGTGATGACCAGACGTGGTCCCTGTGCCTCTAGTTGGGAAACATAATAAACAGTAAAGTAAACTAAATAGAAACAGTCATACCAGTAAATAGAAATAGTCATAGACTGTGACCCTGGCAGAAAGAGAAAGGTACCCTGAGGGACAGTGGCTGGGCTGAGGGTGTGGGGTGGCTTGTTTTGTGAGGAAAGTGCTCCCCTCAGGAAGACCTTCTCCTCAGGACAAGTGATGCCTAGGCTGAGACCTAAAGGCTCAGAAAGGGCAAGGACAGAAATGGTCTTGCCCTCACAGCAGCCCATGGCCACGTGGTCTCCCCTTCTGTCACTCCGATGCCCTCCTAAGTCTCAGTGTCCCAGCTGCTACCTCAGGGCCTGCCCAGCTTCTCTCTTGGAATATTTCTGTCCCTGCCCTTTCTGAACTCTCAGATCTCAGCCTAGACATCACTTGTCCCCCGAGGAAGCCACATTGTGTTGGGCGAACTGTTTTCTGTTCTTAAAATACGATTTTGAGTGGGATCTGCCCGCCCAGCAGGGTAACTTTGGGGATCCAGGTGGGACCGTGGATGGGGAAGTCATGAGGCTCCACACTGTCATTTAGGCTCCGAGCTGCTGCTGCTGCTGCTGCTGCTGCTGCTGCTGTGACTCTCCCAGCACCCAGAAGCATGTTGTGATGCATGGCCCATTGTGCACATGAAGAAACTGAGGCTCAAAAACTGGAAAGCGACCTACCCAGCGTCATCCAGAGAGCCAGTGGACGGTGGGGCTGGGACCTAACCTCGGTGCTTTGTGCTGACTGTGCTGAGCTCCCTGGGAGAGGAAAACCTGCTGGCAACTGGCTCCTGGCTCTGTCAGTCAAGTCCTAATCGCCCATCGCTCAGACCGCCGTGCGGGGCACCGGGGACAGGCGGCCGCACCGAAGAGCGTGACGGCTCAGGCTCCCTGGTGCTCAGCTGAGCGGCTGGCGCAGGGCTCGACCTTGCTTATCTCCCAGGAAGCATCAGCTCTCATCTCGCTGGAGGGTTTGCAAGATGACAAGTTGGCAGCTTTACGAAGTCGGGCGCTTGGCAGGGGCCAGGCTCCGGGCCAGAGGCTTTAAGCACTGTTATCTCATTTAATTGGCTTCTCACAACAACCCTCGGAGAAAGTACACTTGCTTTCTCATTGACAGAGGAGGAAACTGGGGTTCAGAGAGGGCAAGAAGCTGACACAGGTCGCACTGCTTCTATGTGACCAGGGTTCAATCCACATCCACTGGATCTTCACATTCAGTGTCAAGGGGTCACTGTTCCTGGCAGTTCAGAAAGGGCTTTGGGTGCAGACATCCTGAAGGAAGGATGGTTGGTTGGGGTATCCTAAGAGAGGGGCTGGGCACCCGTCAGGGACAGAAAATGTTGAGAGGCAACAAAAGAGTCTCTAGGTGGTGACAGGACTGTCATGTTGAAAGCAAAGCTGCCAGAGTTCAAGTCAGCCTCTGCTGTCTCTTAGCCAAGGGCCTCAGGAAAGTCACTTCTCTCCGGCCACAGTTTACCCATCTGTGAAATGGAGACGATGCTAATCTCAACCTCATGAGGTCGGTGAGAGAACACATCAGTTACAGTTTACCACAGGCCTGGCATGCTGGAAGGCTTAAAGAATATTCACTAATTTATTATCAACCCATTCATCCAAGAATTGCTGAATTTTGCAGCAGGAAGCGAGACCATCGGAGGAGAGGAAAGGGGTCTGGTTCCTTGGGGAGACAAGCTGTCTCTGGCAGGGGTGGCCCGGGGTGCAGAGCTCCTTTCAGCTGGATGGGGGACAGGTGGGACTCAGGCTTGATCCCCTCTCTAGCTCAGGGCTGGGCGAGGACTGGAAACTCGCCTAGTTGGGCAACCTGCTTTCACCAGCCCACATGCCCGCCCTGTCTGTCTCTCTCCAGCCCTACCAGTCCCTTTTCTACTTGGAACTTACACAAATGGACCTTGACCTCCCTGTCTGCTGCTCCCTGGCTACATGGTCTTGGCAAGGGAGTGCCAGGAGGATTAAATGAGATAATGCTACAAAAAAAAAAAAAAAAAAAAGAGGGCCCTCAGGCGGTAAGCACCATCCTCTGCCTCCAACAAACATTCCTGAATTCATGCAGGGACCTTGACTCTATCTGCAAATCAAGCCCTTTTCTTGAAAGAGCCAAGCTGGGCTTTTTCCACAGGAGGTGAGGAAATGAGAGAAGAGGGGTGCTGCGGAGTCCCTGGGCGGGGTAGAGGGGACCAGGGTGCTCATCCTGCCTCCCCATCTGCTCCAGACCTGTTTGAAAAGCATTATGCTCCCCAGAGAGGACCTAGGGCTCAGAGAGCAGGTGCCTTGCCAGAGGTGACCAGCACATAAGAGGTAGAGGCTGGACGCAGCTCCTGTGTGTCACCCGAAGGACCTTCTGCAGAGGTTCCCGTTGCGTGTTGAACCCACGCTCTCTTGGCCCTGGGTAGCTCCAACTCCCCGGCGTGCTCCGTCACATCATGCCCCCCACCCCACTCACCTGAGGACTCGGTGTCCTGTGATGCCGCGGCCTGGCAGCAGCGGGACCGGGGGCCAGGAGCTGCTGCTACCGTCTACGGCCAAACTTCCGTTCCCCAGAGGCGGGAAGGACTTTCCCCTGGCGGGGACCCAGCCAGGCTGGACCCCGTCCATGTCACCCCGTCGTCCCCTCCATTCTGCTGTCTCAGGCAGTTTCAGATCCCATTTCTGCCCCTGGGGTGGGGGTTACAGTAAAAGGGGTGGCCGGTGGCCAGTTTTATTTCCCCAACTCAGCAGCTGTGAGGGGAACAGGCTATCCCCGGGGATGTCCACAGATGGCCACTCGCCTGCCAAGCCCCTCCGGGCTCGTGACCTTCTATGAGAACAAGGTGGTTCCCAGTGGGTGACACAGTGGCCACCCTTGTCCCTGAGCACTGGATGTACAGCCAGAGACCCTGGGCTACATTGTGGCTCTGCCCCTCACCGCTAAACGTCCTCATCCAAGGAGGCCAAGAGAGCCCCAATTTCCTCCACTACCTGATGGGTCCATAGTTGTACCCGCTCTGCAGATCTGGCAGGCCGCCAGGCGGATAATGGATGGATAAGGAGGCAGAAGATTCTGTGGGGTAAACTGTAAAGCCCCGTGTATGTGATCATCGTTAATGTCACTTCATGTCCCCAGCTTCCTCTTTCTAGACTCTTCTCTTCTGCTCCTTCCTGTTCTGCACCTCTGCTCTTTCCCCATTCTCTGAAAATAATCAAATAATGCACTTTAAATGTGCTTGTGATTTATTTGTGCAGCTCCCTCCATTTCCGGTAAGACGCAAAGCTGGTGATAGTGATGATCACAAGCAGGCGCCTGGGCTCGTTGAGCCTTGAGTGACACCACATTAGGGTGGGAAAGGGGCGTGGAGGTCATTTTACATGCAGGGACACTGAGGCCTCTAGGGCTGAGTATCTTCTGACAAATATTTCTGGTACGCCTCTATGTTCAGGCACCAGAGAATGAGGTCCAGCCCAGCCAGCTGTGGGTCCTGTCCCCCCAGAGCCTCCCTTCCGGGGAACACTGGCGTCAGTGACACAGAAATGTTGAAGCAGTGGCTTCTGGAGCACAGCCCGCGTAGGGCCCCAGGTCCTGACCGCATCCAGGGCTGCAGGACAATGCTCAGGCAGCAAGCCCAGGGGCTGGGGCGGCCTCTGTGTCTGGAGAAGGCCATTGTGAGCTTGCAGACGCCAGTGGCTGGAAGCTAGGCACACACTACAGCCATGATCGGGAAAGAAAAGATGAGGGCGACACAACCCAAAGGTCTCAGGGCCCGGCAGCTGCAGAGCCAGGAGGACCAGGCTGGGCTGCGGAGAAGCCGGCAGTGGGTTCTAAAGGCAGCAGAGGAGCCCAGAGGCTGCAGAGCAGGCGCACACGGTGAGGCACCTGAGGCCCCCGAAGCCACCTGCACCTGGCCCTCTGGTTCCTGCTAGCTGACAGCCATGGGAAAAGGTCAGCTTGAACTTGGGGGAAAGCAGGACACTGAGAAAAGAAATCAGTAGCGCAGGGGGTGGAGAGCCCGGGCTTCAGACTCAGCCGCTGCTACGTTTGACAGCGGCTCTGCCTCTTTCCAAGCACGGGACCTCGGGCCCATGTGCTGAGCTCCTATCCACACTGGAGCACAGATATGCCCTCCTGGGGGCGCTAGTGGGGCACAGGGGCGCACAGTGGGAGCAGCATCGCATGTGAACAGCAGATGAATTCATGGAACCTGGGAGACAAGGAACCATGCCCAGATCAGAGGGAGCCAGGGTGTCTCTGAGCCTTGACCTCTGTGCCGGAGCCTGCTGGGCTCTGTACCCACAAAACTGCTGACTGGCACCCTTGATAGAGAAGGGAGGTCCCCCACAAAGAGTGAAGATAACCCAAAGAGCCCTCCTCACCCTGCAGCACTGAGGCCTCCTGACCCAGGACCCCTCCCCTTCCTCTCCCTCCTCACCCCTCCAGCCCTCAGCCCAGTAGGGCCAGGAGCAGTGTTTCCCGAGGCCAGGCCGTCCCTCCTGACACAGAGAAAGACAGCAACAAGGAAACAATTATGGAAAATAAAAATGGCACACAACTTGTTGTTTCCAAAGCACAGGTCTCTGTTCTGACGCCGTGGCCTACATAAATGGCGTATTGATTTTCTTAAACAAAAGAGATATGAGTACTACTCACGCTGTACTACTGTGGCATTGCCTGGCGGGCACTAAGTGGTTGACTTAAGGGGGACAGCATGGACACAGTGGCCAGTGACCTGGGCCCCTCAGAGGACCCAGGCTTAGGTGAGCTAGGCTGGGTTTCCGGGCTCCTGCCTCCAGCCCCGTGTGTGTGTGTCCCTCCCATCTGACATGTCCCGGGGTCTTACTATGTGCTGAGCATGCAGCACGGGGGCCAGCGCTCAGCGATGCTCACAGCCCCCCAGGGAGCCCCGAGAGCCAGTCAGTGGCCCGTGGATACTTGGTTCCCTGCAGCCCTCCCATGCACTCCTGCCCTGTTATGGCATTGGGCTTGCAAACCTTATTTTGTGCATTTGTTTTAAATAATTCTATAGGTTTATTTTGTTCACCACCAGACCTGGACACCTGGGCTGTAAAGAGTCAGGCATGTGTGGCCCAAGTCTGTAGAGGATGCTGTGGGGACCAAGGGGAAATCAAGGGAGGCTGCATGGAGGAGGTGTCTTTGTGAAGCATCTGATGGTGGAGGGGTGTCAACCAGGAATCTTGGGGCCCCAGGGTCTGAGTTATTCAGGTGAGCCAGACATCAGGGGCAGTTGTTCTCTCTCTCGCTCACTCAGAGCCATCTTACAGCCTGGCCACGAACGTGAAGGAGTTACTGTGTTTGAAGCACTTGGTGCAGCACCGGTATACAGTAGGCGCTCAGTAAATGCTAAGTACAGCAAATTTTAAACTTGCCCCTTTACTCTCTGTGTAAGCACGCACTCACGTGCTTAGGCGTTCACTGACTCACCCACTCATTCAGCGCCAACTCACTGCACATCTCCCCTTTGCCTAGACCGGGCTTACGGAGCCCAAACTCCTGGTGAGCCCGGTGCTCCAGAAACCCCTTTGGGAATGCAAGCCCACTCCTGTCTACCTGTGAGCCCGGGTGCCTTTACCCACTTGGGGACCTCTGGGGGACTGTCACCCCATTGAACACCTCTCTCCACCAGTCCAGATGAGCACCACCACCACCAAGATGCCCTGAGTCCAGAGCAACAGACAATGCAACAGATTTGAAGCCGAATGTGCCAAGTTCCAGGCATCGGCAGTGAGGAATCGGGGCCATGCATGTTTACTGAAATAGTTATTTATTCACATTTCTTCCCGCCTCGTCACAGACTTGAGATAAATGAATAACAGTCCCAGAAGGTATTGGTTAAGAAGGTATTGGTTAAGGGTCACAGGGATGGTGCAACAGTGATCCAGAAGGAGCGTACAGGAGGGAGAGGACTCGAGGGCTTCCTGGAGGAGGAGTCCATCAGGTGGGGAGAAGGGCTGAGAGAAAATGGGGGAAGCCGAGAGAGGCGGGGTGGCCCCGGGGCTGCAGCACCCTAGTCAGGGAAGAGCAGGAAGCCCGAGAAGACACTGTCGGAGCCCTGGGTGCCCACCATGCCATTGTAATCGTTGACGCCCAGCCACACCTGCGCGCCCTGTTGCAGGTGCAGTACCACGCCGCCCGAGGTGACCTGCTTGCTGTCCTGACTGTTGCCCTGCAGCACGTGCTCGCAGAAGGTGGTCACCTTGACGTTGTCGTGGTACAGCTGCACGCACAGGTTTTCTGTCAGCGAGGTGTGGTAGATGAAGTAATACAGGCCCGGCACCTGGCAGGTGAACCTGCCCGAGTCCCTGTCATAATCTCCCTGCGGGTTGGTGATGGCTGCGTTGAACCTGACCAGGCCGTTGGCTGTAGGGTGCTGTTCCGTCTGCCGGGCGACTGTGAACACGGACTGGTGCTTCTGCTTGTATCTACCCTCCTCGCCCGGCATCCCGGGGGGGCCTCTGGGCCCGGGGTTGCCCGGCATCCCAGGGGCTCCCATGGGGCCATTTTTCCCGGGATGGCCAGGTGTGCCAGGTTCTCCCTTGTGCCCCTTGGGCCCTCGAGTGCCGGGGATGGCTGGGATTCCTGGGGAGAGAGCAGGCGGGGCCAAAGTCGGGTAGGGTCGGGAAGGGCGCTGGTGGTCAGCAGGGCTCGGCCTCCGCAATCCCCTTCCCAGGTGGACTGTCCACGTGGGGGCGGGTTCTGCCTCCAGGCCTGCCTCCTGGGACCTGCCTTCTGGCCTAGCCTAAGGCACTTCCCTGCCTTAGTTTCCAATCTGAGGAGGAGGGCAGGACTGGTCAGCACCCAGAGGCATCAGAGCCCGCAGGATCTCAGAAAGCATCAGCCAGGGATGGCCGAGGCCAGACTCTTCTGTTAGCCTGATGCGGTGGTTTTCAGTTTTTAAAGCTAAACATTAGCGAATTCAGGACTCACTCACCTGACAGTGTAGGCTCCTGGGTTTGGAGGTTTGTGTGTTGGGATGGTGCTGGGGGTTTTCTTGATGAAAATCAGCGGGCTAGTGAGAGGCAGGTTCCCCCGCAAGCCCACGAAGCTCAGACTTCAGGCCCGGGTCACTGCATCAGGCCCCTTTGAGGGGCTTTTGCTTGGTATTTGGATTTATACTTTTACATCTTGCTTTGAAGCAATTCTGTAACTGTGGGGTGAGTGGGGGACAGAGAGGACCAGGTCCCTTCTTCCCCTCTTCTCCCTAGTGGCACATCTTGCAGAACTAAGGTATGAGAGCAGACTGAGAAACTGAGGTGCACACAGGCCACAGAGCTTATGCAGGTTTGGCAAGGGGTGCATTTGTGTGTGTATGTGTGTGTGTGCATGTGTGTGTGTGTGTGTGTTTCTAAAACAAGCTGTAGACCTATGTACCCTCCCACCTCTGGGATCAGCACGGGGTGTGGCTATCATTTTTCCTCCTTTTCTTAGGATCCTCTGAACAACCCTCAGGTCCTGCACACCTCTGCACACCCTGCGACAGCCCTGGCCCCGGGAGTGGCCGGAGCGGCTGTGTTGGCCCGAGTAGAAGTCGTTCCCAGTGGTGCAGCTCCCTCCAGCTGCAGGTCAGCCCAGCCCCCCTCCGCCCCTGGGACCTGAGGTACAGATGAGGAAGCTGAGGTGAGACACTGGCCCAAGGCCACCTGACCCAAGGCCACCTGACCCAAGGCCACCTGGCTCAAGGCCACCCGGCTAGGACGAGGTAGAGGTAGGATTCAGGTTGGGCGCATCCCAGGCAGAGCATGAGACTGTGCTGTGTGGCTGTGCCTCTCAGACAGCCTGCTCCCCGCTCCAAACCCCTGCCATCTCTGAGAGCAACTCCTTTTCAGGCAGCCCCAGGGACTCCAGCCCCACCCCACAGCTCATCGGCTTCACGGCTCCTGTCCTCTGCCTTCCCACAGCTTAAGGGTCGGGAGTGTCCAGAAGCCTGGACCTTGGGCTGTGTGAGCCCGGACAGTGATGTCCTCTCTTGGATCCCACAGTAGCATCAGGCCCTGAGCACTGAGCAGGGCAGGAAACGGCGGAGGGGAGCCCATGGGGTGATGGGGGGCAGCGATGGGTGTGAGCTCTGGAGGTGCACAGGACTCTGCTGTGTGACTTGGGGCAAGTTGCTCGGTGTCTCTGAACCCCAGCTTTGGCACTGAAAAATGGGAGCAAAGCACTTCTGCAGAGGACTTCGGCCTCAGTTTTCTCATCTGTGAAATAAAGTTCCCAAGGTCCTCCGTGCCCCTCACCCCCACTTTCACCTGCCCCTGCCCCTGTGAGCTGTGCCCAGCCCAAGCCAGCCTCACTGCCCTCATTTACCATCAGGGTCACCCCCTCCTCCCCCAATTCAGGCCCCAACACTAGCACCCTCCATCCTCAGCCCCTAATTCCATGTGGGGGCTCACCTGGGAACCCCTGCAGGACACACCATAGTCCCCTCCCCACCCCCCGACCACTGGGGAGAGAGCCGAACCTGGACTCTGAGACAACGACAGCTGTGGCCTCCACCTGGACAGCGGCTGCAGGTGTTTGGCACAGTCATCCCCCATGGCACCCCTGAGGTAGGCCCTAGGATATTCCCATTTCACAGATGGGGAAACAGAGGCACTTCGATGTTAGTGGCTTGTGAGAGCTCTTGCCAAGGCAGTGGTGAGGCTGGGGCTGACTCTGGCCACTGGTGTATTGGGGACATTTATATTATAGTGTTCATGTGGCAGGGCGCTTGGCCCAGGGATTGAAACACAACAGTTATGGGGTGCATTAGAGTTGGCTTCCCCTGAGCCACCTCCTGTGAGCCTCTGGCTGCCTGTGGGGACCTGGGCTCCCATGTTGCCCCAGTGATGGTGACAGAAGAGGGAAGGGGTGCAGCAGCTCAGGTCGGTCTCCTGGGGGACGTTCTGAGGACAGAGCCCCGCAGTGAGAGTGGCCTCTGAGTTGCTGTCCCCTGCCCCACGGGTGGACACATGGGTCCTGGCTACCCCCACCCTCGGCTACAGACTCACCTGGCTCGCCCTTGGGCCCCCGCAGCCCATCGTGGCCATCCTTGCCAGGGGCCCCCGGCAGGCCTGGCATCCCTGGGATCCCGTAGCAGCCTGGCCTGGTCTGGCCCCTGAGGGGCACAGCCAGCAGGAGCAGCAGCAGGTGGAGCCCGAGGGGGAGCCCCACATCCATCTTGGGGAGGAAGCTGGAGGCAGAGTGCGGAGTCAGCCTCCAGTCCCTCCCTTCTTTCCTCCCTACCGCCCCTGGCCTGGCTCCGCACAGCCCCTGGACCCCACCTCCTGCAGCCTGGGCTCCTACCAGAGTGATTGGTGGTCCCTGCCACATTTCAGGAAGGGGCAGCCAGAAATCACCCCTTGCCCACACCGGGCAGGGACCCAGCCTCACCTGGGATTGGGAGCAGAAGTCTTGTCACAGTGATGTCTTCAGCTCCGCGTCCTCTGTCCCAGCAGGAGGACACCGTGTCAGAATGGACAGGGTGAGGATTGCCCGGAGCGGGGCTGGGCACCCTCCCCCACTGCTCCCCATCCCACATCCCCTTTCCCGCCATTTGCCCTGACTCAACACTTTTTCCTAGGTTCTGAGCCAAGCTGACCACAGCAACACCCGGTCCACCCCTCCTTACTCCGCCCTGGTCATGCATCTGAGATGGGGAAGTATCTGCTGCACGGCATGTGGTTAAGAGTGTGTGTGTGCATGTGTGTGAGTGGACAGAGCCCCAGCACCCAGGTGTCTTCAAAGTCAGGTTGGACCCACCTAATGCCCAGCCCCATCCACGCCCAGCCCGCGCTGTTCCTGAGGCCTCCTGAGGGCGTTACAATCCCCCTTTACAAGCGGGGAAACTGAGGCTCTAGAAGATGTCAGCCCTTTCTCCAAGTCCACAGTGAAGTCCAAAGCTTTGCAGTGACCCCTGTGCTCCTCACAAGCACTTGTCAAGTGGCAGTCTTCATTCTAGAAACATCTGCGGGGCCATTCCAGGATGCACGGACAGCTCGGCTTCTCCTCCCAGCCTGCCCCCCCCCCCCCGTTACTGCCCCTGTGGCCTCTGCCTTTCCCTCTGCATTGAGGTCCTGGCCACCACATGTCCCTTCCACTCCTTGAACTCTGTGGAGTGGTGACCACTCTGAGCCTCTCCCAGAGCATAGCTGGACCTAGCAGGAGTTCAGGGGCCTCCCGTCCTGGCCAAGTGACCCTCAGGGCTTGGACTCCCCACTGTGGCACAGGGCTGGGGAGCGTGCAGCGAGGAAAGGCGTGAATGCTTTTGGTCCTGGACATCCTCAGCAGGTGGAGCGATGAGGGGTGGACGCGGTGGACGCTGCATTATGCAGTGGGGCCGACTGACTGACGGCGCAGGGGCTCGCTCCTTGATCTCGCCTCTTTTGTGCCTATGCCTAGGTTTTCCAGCAGGTGGCAGCCTTGGCCCACACTCAGCCCTCCCTGCCCCGCCCACCCTGCTAGCTTCTGCCTGGACTGGGCAAGGGAACGTGCAAAAGGGGGGCATTTAGGGCAAGGAGGCACCTGGGCACTTCCTGAATCATCTCTATACCCGCATCTCTCCTGCTTCTTAGGGAGCCCCCATCCTCAGGTCCCATTGCAATGAAAGGTGACTCCTCTTGGGATCAGGCAGCCCGGTCTCAGGTCTTGGTCCAGCAGTGTGACCTTGGACAGATGTCTCTTCTCCGAGCCTCAGTGCCTGCCTTGCTGGGATTCAGTGCTTCCGTGGCACAGCGGGGTCCCACTCACACTGGGCACCGCAGATGTGACTACCTGTGTTCTGGAAGGGCAGGGGGTGCTGGGGCTAAGGGGGCCCCAGAAGGGAGCCGAGGGGCTGTGAGGACCCTGCAGTGCCCTGGGCTGGGGAGCTGCGCTCTGTCCCAAGCCCTCACTTCTTCCTGACCCTAGAGTCTCTTTGCAGGGCAGAAGCAGGGACAGGGGCAGTGTGGTAGGACTCTAGGATAGGGGGACTGTCCCTGTGTCCCTGGGGATGGCGCATGGGAATGGAGCATCAGTGCTGCTCACAACACAGGATCTCTAGGGCCTGCACTGTTGGGGTGTGAGGGTGGCATCCTGGTGCCTGAGGGGTGTGCCTGCTCTGGCACACGGGTCTCAAGGGATGCTTGTGTATATGTGCCATGTATGTGGTATGTGTGGGGAGAGTGTCACTGGCCCGAGATTCTGTGGGGCTTGGATGCACCTCAGCCAGGAATATGGGACCGTGTGAAACTCAAGGGAACAGCGTGTGAGCCGTGGGGCTGTGTGTGTGTGTGGCACAAAGACAGAAGGCACAGGGCACTGGGCGTTTTCGGCATGGACCTCGAGGTCTCATGTCCTGCACATGAAAGCCACTGGCAGGGCTCACGACTTCAGAGTGGCTCCCAGATGACAGCAAAGCATGCAAGTACCCTGGCCTGAGCCGGATGCCAGGAGGCCACTGACACAGCAGCCCAGCCTCCGTGTCTGCCCCGGGCAGCCTGCTGGACTCCCTTGGGCCAGTTGCTTCCCCTCTCTGATTCCTGCTCTTTCTGGCCAGCACTGGAAAAGCACCCGAGGGATTTGCCAAGCACAGCTGTAGAGGTTGGCAAGGGTGCTAGTTACACTCTCAGACTTGGGGACAGTAGGGTCCTCCAGAGATACCGGCCTGGCCCTCCTGGCACGGCCTCAGCTTCATCATCTGAAAGGAGGGTTATGATACCACCTGTGAGTCGGACCATAGCTCAGACGCCCATAGCCCTGACCCTGGCCCTGGTCTGCCGTTTTCATATACCATGTCATCTGTTTCCTTTGGCAACCCATGAGGCAGGTTATTAGCCCACTATGTGGATGTGGAAACTGAGATCACAGCAGTCATCACAGATGCACATGACTAGCCAGCTGCTAGCTGGTAGCACCTAAATTTGAGCTGTGGATTTGAGGGTCTGGGTACCTGCTAAATGCATTGTGTGAAATGCTAAAACAGGATAACCTCTTAGGCACCAGAAATGGCCCCCTCATACCTCCTGCCCAATGCCCCAAGTAGCCAATGCTCTCAAACCCAGAAGATAGAGTCATGGCGTTTATTCCAGGAAGGGGTGCAGTGGTGGCAGGTCCTGGAGACCTGGGAATCAGCCCCAGACTCAGGTGGCTAGAGCAGTAGCACCCCATTTTGTAGAGCAGAGGATCCCAGAAAGGGGGGAGTGAGCTGAGGCCCAGGCGGGAGGAGGGAGGCCAGGGCGGCTGCAGCGGCCGTGCTGGTGCTCAGAGGCGGTGGGCACTCGGCTCAGACAGACGGGAAGATGAGAAAGCCGCTGAAGACGCTGTCGGCCTCGGAGCCCTGGAAGATGTTGCCCTTGGAGAGATCCCTTTCTATCCAGACCTTGTCGCCCTGCTGCAGCTGGAGGGAGGTGCCCCCGGATATCTGGAAGAGACCCTTGTTATTGGTGTCGCAGAAGCCCGGGGAGTGGCGGAGCTGGCCCTGGGAGGAGGACACGATGGTCAGGCAGATGCTCCCGGTGGCGACCACGTAGAAGCTGAAGTAGTAGAAGCCGGGCACGGCGCACACGAAGTGGCCCGTGTCGTTCCGGTAGGGGCCTTCCTGGTTGATGATGACTGTGTCGAAGACCACCACCTTGTCCCTCTTCGGCTGGGGGTTCCGCCTCACGGCCGAGAAGGCTGGTCGCGGCTGGTCCCTGATGTTGCCTGGGTTCCCCTTCATGCCCCTGGGTCCCGAGGCACCTTGTTCCCCTGGGGGGCCGCTGGGCCCTGGGTAGCCCACATTGCCCGGTTTCCCAGGGGGCCCAGGCTCTCCCTGGTCTCCTTTAAGGCCTCGGATGCCTGTCCGGATGCCGGGGGCTCCTGTGGGGAAAGAGACCAGACAGGAGGAGAGCATGCAGGGGCTGCCGGGTCTCGGGGAGGGCGGAGAGCCCAAGAGCTGTGAGATAGAGGGGAGCAAATCCCCGGGACAGAGAGACTGGGCCTGGCTGGCTGTGTGACCTGAGACGTGTTCCCCGTCTCTGAGCCTCTGTATCACCTGTATCATGGAGAGCGTGTAGGAGGCCCTTGGGAGGGCATCAGATGGTGGGGTACAGGACCCCAGCCGCACACCTCACGCACCCTTCATCTTTGGGCTTAGGGACCTCATGCAGATGCCGGGCACAAATCAGTGCAGCCATCTCTGCAAGCTCCCTGGTTTGCTGTGGACCAGGAGGATCGGGGATGACACGAGAATCTTCAAGCTGCAGCCACAAGCTCCTCCCATTTCCATCACCCAAGCCTCTTTTCTAGAATGAGACAGTTTCTGAAGCCTAAAAAGGGCTAAGGAGGGGAAGCCGGAACAGTGTTGGGGTGCTGGGAGGAACCCAAAAGATGGTTGCAGTTCATTGATCCCTCTCGTGCCAGGCAGGGTTAGATCTCCATTTTACAGATGAGGAGACTGAGGCTCAGAGAAGGTCAGTAACTTACTTAAGGTCTCCCAGAAAGGCAGGAGCTCTGGAGCCTAAAATCTGGGACCTTGCCATTCTGGTAATAGAACACAGAGCAAAGGCTGGATGCTGCTTCTGGCCTTTCACATTCACCGAGGGCGGCAGCTTATTCTCCAGAGGAGAAAGGGCGATGTGAAAGGGCTGGGGCCATGGTGAAGGAGACAGCTGGACCTCTGGGCCCGGGGGCCAAATGCAGACTGGAAGGGCCATGGGTGGGGGCTGGGGAGGGGCCGGGTGGGCCCCCGCTTCCCAGCAGCAGCCCCTCGCCTCCGCCTGGAGGCCAGCTGGGCTCAGGGCCCCCCAAAGGTGCTTACCTGGCTCTCCTCGCTCCCCCTTGAGGCCGGGCCGCCCGGGTCGCCCAGGTTTCCCTGCAGCCCCATCCTTCCCGTTGGGTGCTCGACACACGTCCTCAGCCACCCCAGAGGACAGGGACACGGCCAGCACGCAGACCAGCAGCCACAACCTCGGAGTCATGATGTCCCTGAGCAGACACAGACAGGACCTGGGCAGCCTGGAGGTCGCACACAGCTCGCACACTCGCCACACACCTGCCCTTCCCGCAGGGTGTGTGTACACAGGAGCCTTCGACAGCACCCAGGAGTCCCCCAGCCCAAGACGCAAACTCACACCCGACACTCATGGCCTGGGCGCTGCCACCTGGTTACACCCCTGGGCACACTCAGCTGCTGTGCACACTCCCTAACACACACTCATCCCACGTAGACTCCCGCCCCTCCTCTCTCTGCCAGCACACACGCTCGGATACCCCCACCCCACACACCATCGATCTCTGTGAACAAATATTTATCAAGCACCTGCTTCTTATTTAATTAACACGCTCCGGGCCAGATAGCGGAGCCGTGCGTGCGCACAGAAATTCAGACACATGTGCATGCTCCTGGGCAGCTTGGCCCCTTCCGGTCTCCATCTCAGGCCTCTCGGTCTCCTTTGTGGGGCCCCACTGCTGGGCCCCGGCTCCCCCAGCCCGCTCCCAGGACTCCAGCGAGAACTTTAGATCTGTGTCACCACCTCTCCCCTCCGCCAGGCTCTGACCCGGGCGCTGAGCCCTCCACTCACCCATCCTGGCTCCCCCACTCAGGATGTCCCCACCCCATCTCTGTCCTAGTTCGGAACCAGCCTGCCTGCTCAGCGGGCCAGCCACGGCCAGCGTCCCAGTTCCCAAATCCCTCCCCCAGGCTCTGCCTCACCTGCGTCCAGTGTCCACTCGGACTGGACACTCCTGTCCTTTGCCTGGGGAGCCGGGTGGGAAGCCCAGCGGGGATGTTGCAGCTGTGGCCGGGCCAAGTTTCACATCCCTTCCCAACCGTCCTTCCCCTTCTGCGCTTGGGCCCCGGAACAGAACTCACCCAGGAAACTTTTGAGCAGATCTCAGCAAGATTAGGACAGGGGACGTCCTACAGGGCCACTGCTGCGGTGCGGGCAGGGCAGGGTGGCCAGCTGTGGAGGGGGGCGGGTGGGGCTGAGGGACCCAGAGGCCAAAAGAACATCAGGGCGGAAGGAATCACTTTCAAAATCAGTAACACGCAGTAATTGGGCACAATTATGAAATCGGCATGTGTTTGTTACCAGAAATTTGGAAAATACAAAAATGGGAGAAGTGTACTTTGGGAAGGAGAAAGATGAACAGCACTTAGCGTCCAACTCGCCCCGTCTTGGGGAAGTTACTTAACCTCCGGGGCCCTCAGTTTGCTTATCTGTGAATCAGGAACAACAGGGCTTACCTTGGGTGTTTGCCTAATTTTCTAATGGCACACACATGGGAAACCCTGGTGGACACACGGAGAGCGCCTCGTCATCTGTCACCCGAGAGAGATGTCTGCTGTTAATGTTTGATTGGGTCGCCCAGACTTGCTCCCTCTCAGCTACACGAAGCTCATTACCTGGAGGCATCTGCACTTCATCGTAGCTTGTGTGGCGCCTGGGAACAACTCTTTTCTCTATATAGAGTGACCCTGTCTCCCTAAACTATAGACCAACGTGTGACCATATCTGCTTTTTCCCATGAGCCCATCTGCCCCCCACCCCAAAGATTTTACCTTTATCAACCAGTCACAAATGAGTGGTGTAAACAGCTCAGAGACCCTCCTGTTACCTCCTCCTCTTCTCCAGGACCAGGAAATTAACAGAGCCGGAATCTCTGGGTTCCATCACATGCAACTATACAACTTGGACCTCGGTTTTCCCATCTGTAAAATAGGGGTGATATCTAGTTTCCTCACTGGCCTATTATAGGATTATGGGAATTTATGAGGAAGTTTATATATACTGTCAGATATCACACTGAGAAAAGTCATCACTATGAACAACGCCTCTGTGACCTTCGGGAAGTTACTTAACCTCTCTGAGCCCCTCTTTCTCCATCTGCCAAAATGGAGAGAAGGTGGGAGGCGGGCAAGTTGCCCAGCAACCTCCAACAACCCTTCTAGTGTCCACCTCCCATCACATCAGCCCCGCTTCCCTTCGAGAAGAGCAGGGAACGTGACAGGTTGGGACCTGAAGTGCTGGCCTAACCTCCCTAATTTCATTAATGAAAGAACCAAGGACCAGACACAGAAAAACCTGCTCAAGGTCACACCGGAAGAGACAGATACGAAAAAATTTCACATGTACCTACGTAGAGAGAAAGATTGAAGAGAGAAATTTATTAAAACAATCACAAGAATAATCCGGAGGCTTCATACGACTGCTGGAGTTAAGTATGAACCTGGCTAAGGTTCCATCGGACGATGCAAGAGCTGGACTTATCATCTCTAACAGAGGGAAATCATTTGCATCACTATGAGACAAAAATAATTTGCAACTTATCAGTTTTCTCCTGGTTCCCAGCTATCTTTACAGTCTGAGGCCTAATCAATAGTAAATAATAAGTCCAGCAAAGTGACATTTCCCCCAGAGTGTCAGGTGACCCTTAGGAGGGCTCATTAGATACGGCACGAACTTGACTTTGGAAGGACACCGGTTATCTGTTTGCCTTATTTCCAAGAGGAGGATGATTTGACTTATCAGGCCGATGCGGGTGTACAGCTCCCCAGGAAGGAGACACAGCGACGGTAATGCACATGTCATTAGTGTGGGAAGGAAGTGGGTCAGCAGTGTCCCGTGAATGTCACAGGGACACCTTCCGCTGGCGGGTGGGGGCCGGGCACGCTTTCCACTGCTCCCCAGTGCCAGTGCCCAGCGGGGAGGCAGGCGGTGCAGGGGTGCAAGGAGAGCCTTAAACTGAGTCGCCCTCCATGAGGTCCACTCTGAGAGTGGACTCAGGGGTCTAAGAAACAACCAAAATGCTATTTTCAATGATTCGACTTCTCTATGGTGGTCTCATCTGAGTCAAGGATTGCTTTCCAGAATCAGCATATGAGGCAAATGTTGTATATAGGGTCAATTTTACCGCTGGCTTGGAGGGTGGCTTGAGGGTAGAGTGCTTGCCTAGCATGGCTGAGGCCCCGGGTTCAATACCCAGTACGGGGAAAAAATACCACTGGGGAAATAACCTCAGGGCAGTGCCATGTTGGACCATATTATTGTCTTGAATTAGTCCGATGCCGTCTCCTTGGGCTATGGCATTAGAATTTGCATCTTGCTTAGCTGAGAACCAAGCAGCTCACGTCAGTCAGCCCCTCCCCAACACACCACACGGGAATTAAATCTGTGAAGACTGAGACTCACTCTGTATAAGGTTTTTTGGGGTCAGCTAGGGACTCCCACGATTTGAGGCCAAGTTGGGGACATCAGGTCTCTTCCTGGTCCTTGTTAATTCCAGAAATGAGCTCCTGAGAGGGTCCAGGTCGAGGGATTGTACCCTCGCCCTATTTTAATAGCTATTTCTAGTTCTTTGAATCTTATTCAGCAAAGTGCTGGTAGTCAAAGGTATCTGCAATGGGACCCTGAGATTTTTCTAGTTCTTATTTTATTTAAAAAATTTGATGGGTTAGGGAGATCTATCTTAGTGGTAGAGTCCTTGCTTAGTATGCTTGAGGCCTGGGTTCCATCCCCAGTATCACACACAGAAAGACAGTGAGGAAGAGAGGAATATAGAGAGAAAGAAGAAAGAAAGAATGAGAGAGAGAGAGAGAGAGAGAGAGAGAGAGAGAGAGAGAGAGAAATGGAGGTATGATTTCCACCCAGTAAACCCCACAGCTCTCTGGCCCAGCTGCTGTCTCCGCGGGCACCTTGCCCCACACTGCATCCGGTCAGTGTCCAGCAAGTGACCCGAGCCGTTCCCCCTCCTCAGCACCCCTCCCCTCTGCACCCCATCTGCTGCTCTTTTTCCCATCACTTCTGCTGCTTCTGCCTGTGCTGTGCTGGAACCGCATCTAAGTGGAATCAAATGGTGTTGCGACCTGGCACCCCTTGGCTTCCTCTGATGAGCGCGCTTGTGACTCTGTCCGCATGGTCGCATGTGTTGCTTTGGTGTGTACCGTGAGCGGCATTGCTTGTGCACAAAGTTCACCATGGAGAGCTGCTGAGAGCTCTGTGGTGCGCATCCTCTGCCTGCCCCGGCCTGCATCCATGTGTGTGCAGTCCTGCAGAGGCGCTGACACCCTGAAGGGTGCAGGGGGTCCGTGTCGACCTCTATCCCAGCAAGGCCTGGCTCCTTCCCCTACCTGCCAGTCGGAAGCCCATGGCATGGTGACTGGTGAGAAGTTTAGAAAGGAAGATGTAAAAAGAAGAGGAGCAGAAGCAATTTCTTTAGGGGAAGAAAACAGGAAGAAATAAAGCCCTTCTCTCCCTGCCGTTGTTCGGGCTGGCGGGTGGCATCCTGGATGCCCAGCAGGAAGTGGCATGCCAGGTGAGCTGCTCTGGAGAAGTCCCCAGCATCCAAGTCTAGCTGGCAGGTGAGGTGTGAAAAGATTAAGAGGATTAGGAGAGTTTGGGGGGCAGCCAGCCAGCTGTGAGCTCCTCCACCTCCCGAGGGCTGGCCCTGGCTCTCCAGGGCTGTCAGAGCCCCGTAGCCTGAGGACCGGGCACCCAGAGGGCTGGGATCATGCCAGCTCCTGAGAGTCGCAGGAGAGTGGCTGAGGGAGCCCATGGCAGAGCTGCCCCTCAGCTGCCCCTCACGGCTCCTGGAATCCGTCACAGCCAGGAAGCTGGCACTCTGACGAGCCCCTTTTGCTGAGCTGAGCCTCAGCGGGTCACTGACTCACACAAGGCTGCAGAGGCTGTGACTGGTCCTGTTCTTTCCACCACGTCCATGCCTCCCTGACAGCATTCCACAGGCAACCAGGAAGGGGCAGGGAGGGCAGGAGACGCAGAGAAGGGACCAGGACAGACCAGGGTTTGCCAAATTCATAGACTTACCTCCTTAAGCCGGACATTTATACGTGTCCTCTCACTATTGGGCAGTATTCGGGTTCAATTTGGTTTTTTTTTGTCTTTTTGAGACAGAGGCTCACTACACAGTTCAGGCTGGCCTTGAGCTCACTTTGTAGCCCAGGTTGGTCTTGAACTCACAACGATCCTCCTGCTTCAGCCTCCTGAGTGCTGGGATTACAGGTGTGTACCATCACACCCAGCAAGGCTCATTTTCTTTTCTTTCTTTCTTTTTTTTTTTTTTTTTTTTTTTTGTCTTTTTTGTTTTTATCGGTACCAGGGATCGAACTCACGACCGCCTGCTTGCAAGGCAGGCACTTATGCCACTGAGCTAAATCCCCAGCCCCACAAGGCTCATTTTCAAAGGTGAAGAAATTGAGGCTCAGAGAGGGAAACTGAGGCTCGGCGGGGGGAAGGGATTTACTAGTCCAGGATACCAGCTTTAATAGATAAAATGACAGACTGCTAGCTCAACAGGAATTGCAGGAAAATAATGGCGTGACTGGGATATACTTACATTAATGCAATGATTTGTCCTGTATGTTCTCTGACAACCTATATAAGTCACACAGCTGTAGGGGTAATTCATCCCCTTCCCTGTGGCTCTGGAAAGAGCTGTGTTGTTGATGGGAGGTGAGGGGTGAAGGCTGAGGGTGGGGCTCTTTTTTTGCCTCCCATGGAAATGTGAGTCTCAACTCCACACCAAGATTAGAGCTGCTGTGACCAGGCCAGGACCCCCACCCCAACTCCGTGGCGGGCTGATTTCTAGGGTCTCTCTCTTCCCTGCATTTTCTATCAGGATTGATCACTGTGTAGCTGGGTGTGGTGGCACACTCCTGCAACCCCAGCACTCAGGAGGCTGAGGCAGGAGAATCACCATGAGTTTGAGGCCAGTCTGTGTTACAAAGTGACTCTGCATCAAAAAAAAAAATTGGTCACTATGGGTTGGAGGAAGGGAACCTGGGTTCTACTCGCAACTCTTGTAAGCATCCTGAAAAAATCACCACCTGAGCCTCAGTTTCCCCATCTGTAAAGGGGGATGGTTGGACCCTCCCTGCTGTGTGGGTTGGATGGAAGG